GTTCTGCAGTATTTCTCCTTGTCACATGAGTAGGTTACAAATTCTGCAGAATAAAGTACTCCGTATCATTACCAACGGTAATAGATACACTCGAGTGGCAGATATGCATGCACAATGCCATGATCTGCCCATGATAAGACAATACATACTGAACGTAGCACAAACATTTTATAAATACCATCTATCAAACAGTACTCTAACAGAACAGCCATCAGAGCAGATCATGGCATACGTAGAAACACGGGCTAATCCACGAAGCCTGTGATATTTTCAGGGAACCCCTGGAATGATTGCCCACCCTCCCCAAATTTCCTAACAAACTGAAATCGTCAGAAATTGAAACATAATTTTTTCAGAAACTTGGAAGTTATCTGATCTAAGACTAAACGCTCCTGGCCGACCAGACGACTTCCGAGCATGCCCAACCCAGAGAGGATGGACCACCAGAAACCAAATGCCCATTGACTACAATGGGCAACATACACGATCGTGCAAGCACCAAGTGCGACCTCGAATTTCAGTTTGTTTAATCCCTACAACCCTCCGAACCTCATCCCATTTACGTATTTACTTTATTTATGTTTCACACTTACATGTTAATCTAGGTTTTATTTATACAAACATATACAATGTATCAAGATGAAATGAATAAATCGATTTCAAAAGATGGCCACAAAACGTAGAAATAAAATATGTCGCTGTTATTTATTACAGCCGTAGAAAAATCATAGTGTATAACTCGCGCGGAATGCTGATTTCCCACTTGAATGATTGCAACATTCGCCTGTGAACTTCATTCTCGTAGGAAATCACTATCATTCCATGCTCATCAAACAATTTACTATTGATCAATTGGAGACTAGTGAAAATGCTAAAAAAGTTCATTGGAATTCCTCTTCTTATTACTTATTAATAGGACAAACAATAAAGAAGAGCAAACATGCTTTGTAAACAGCGTGAAATATTTCGGCAGTATATTCCACGTCCGACAATAAGAAAAAAGTTTCAATTAACAGGGGTCGAAAAATTGCTAACATCCGGTGGGTGTATCATAATCATCATCGTCAAATATGCTTTATTGTCAGAAGAAATAGTTCTTATCGACAAAGTCATTGTATAGGTATTACAAAGTAAAATATTAAGAATGTTAAAAATATCAAAAATATTGAAAATATTAGAAACATTGAACAAATTAAAACATTAAAAACATCAAGAACGTTATGGTACAAACACAGACATAATATAATAAAATGTGCAGATGAAGCCACAGGATGCAAACATATGAAATCAATCCTAAAATATAGAGGCAAGCGTATTTTAATGCTAACATAAGGGTTCACTACTAAAAAAATCCTCCACGTTGTAAAAAGGATGAGTGGATAGCAATTCTTTTAATTTTATTTTAAACAATCTACATGATTGAATTTCTCGTAGATGTATTGGTAAGCAATTATAAATTTTTAGTCCATTATAAATGAAAGATTCCTTAACAAGATTGTTTTTAGGTAGTGGTAGAGGTAATCTCAATTTGTGCGATGATCATGTATTATGGTTAGACGACACTATATTATATTTGTGACGATTCTTGTGTATTAAGCAAGTGGTTTCTAAGATGAAAATTGAAGTAACAGTGAGGATTCTATTATTTTTGAAAAGGTCGCGGCAAGAAATACGCGTTTTTACTTTACAAAGAGCCCTAATTTAATGGCTCTTTTTTGTACAACTTGCACCTTATGTAACAGTTTTTTGTTGCACATTCCGTAGGTTAGGTGAGATTCAATAAGAGCAAAATAAGCTGTTTTAGCAGTTGTAAAGTCCAATTCCCGTGATATTATCCTAATTGCGTAGCATCCGGTTGATAATTGTTTGCACAATTTCGTGACATGGTCGCTAAACTTCAACTTATTATCAATGTGGAATCCTAGAAATTTTGTGGAGGAAACATTATCAATGATATTTGTGCCTAAGGTCAAGGCAGAAAGCTCGCAGCGGAACGTTAATAGATTAGATTTAGTGGCATTGAAGACTAGCAAGTTATCGTCACACCAGGTCTTAATCAGTTCAATGTCTACTTGTATCTTATGATGTAAAGCATGCTCATCTTTTTCATGCCAAAATATAGTGGTATCATCGGCGAACAATGTATACTCTCCTGATATATTAATTTTTGTGAGATCATTTATATAAAGTAAAAATAATGTGGGGCCAAGTACGGAACCCTGTGGCACCCCGCATTGAGTTGCCTCCTTTCGAGAGAGGTGGTTGGTTTTCACAATTTGTGTACGATTTTCTAAGTATGAATTGAACCACTGCTTGCTGATTCCTCTAAACCCATAGTATTCGAGTTTGCTCAGCAGAATTCTGTGACTTACACAGTCAAATGCCTTGGATAAGTCACAGAATACTGCTGCGGCGGCCTCTCCTTCATTAATTTCATTATATACCTTCGTAAGAAAAGAAAAAATTGCATCATTGGGCTCTTGTGCTTTTGAAATCCAAACTGGTTCTCACTCAAGATATTATTCATAAGTAAGAATTCCACTACTCTCTTCTGAACCAATTTTTCTATTATTTTAGCCAAAGTAGGTATGATAGATATTGGTCGATAATTTGATGGATCAGCTGGATCTCCTCCTTTGTGTAGCGGTATTATAATTGAAGTTTTCAAAAATTCAGGAAAGGCACCTTGTTGAAATGATTGATTGATGAGATCGAGAGCAGAATCTGGTAGGTTTGCAATTATATTGATTGAGAGTTCATCTAGCCTTGACGCCTTTTTATTTTTTATACCACTGATGGTCTCTTTCAATTCTGCTGTATGAGTAGGAACAAAATAGAAGTTTTCTTCGACATAGAGATTTGATATGTAATAATCTAAGTCATTTATTGGGCTCAAGTGCTCAGTTAATTTAGAGGCTACAGTACAGTAGTAGTCATTAAGAGTATTGGGTCTCAAAGGGATTTCAAATGCAATTTTTTGTTTTCCTCTAAGGTCGTTCATTATTCTCCAGCTTTCTTTAGATTTGTTGGAAGATTTATCTATTCTAGACATATAATACATATCTTTTGCTGATTTCAATACTTTTTGATATAAATTACGAATGGTTCACTGGTATATTTTCTAATTGTGTGGAGTGATTTTAAGTTTCTTGCCGAAGTTTTTATTCCTTTTGTTAACCAGAGTTTCTTTTTCTTCTTTTTTATCTTTTGAATTGGAAAAGCTGTGTTGAAATTTCCAAGAGAATCGATTCTATAGCATTTTGAAAACAGCATATTCCATTCCATATTTCAAAAAGCCGGATATGAAGGTGGAGCCGTGACATATCAGTCCCGAACTCTCTCTAATACCTTGCCATTCTGCAGTTTTGCAGTGTCATTGGTCAGCTCAAGGACAATAGGCGTGTTGGGACTAATATGTCACACCAGTCATACCAATGAATTGACACCATCTCAAACGGTGCAGGAAGTTTGAATTTTGAAATGAACATATAAAAATTCAAAATTATATTTACTGCTACTTTTTTGGTATAGAACTCACGATGATGCCGTATTAAAAAATCAGTTGTTATTATTATTATTCCCCTCCAAACTACAAAATTTGTATATCTTAACAGTGAGAACCATTATCACTAGTAATATGTTCAAGTAGTTCAAAAATTACGTGAGCCAGATTTATAACAAACAAATAGATCATCCATCAGGGATGTTTTGAACTTATTAGAAAATTAGGTATCACCTATTGTTTTACAACCCATAGGATTTTTAAGCAGCGATTATTTTAACATAAATTTCAGTTTTTCAGGGAATAATCCTTTCAATACACTGGTATGATAGGTGACATGGTATAAAATTTTGATAGCAGATATTCAGTCTGCTTCATGGTTCATGGTCGGGAATTGGAAGGTGAGCTTTCAAGAGTAAAAAACGGATTATCCCGAATTCCGGCAACACTACAAGTCCTATGGAAAAAAATGGAATGGTGAAGTTGTATGTAATAGGAGGATCAATAACTTTTGTCCCCACACTTTTCTCACATAACCTCAAAATTTTTGTGGAAAAACAAAGTTTTTGGTTTTTTATTTTTCTTTCACAAAAACATATTATCTCACAAAATTTGGTGTAAACTTGCCTCTTTATGCCCTACATACACATTTTTTTTTCAATTCTGAATCTCAATATCCAAATTTCCAAAACACTAATTTTCAATAGAAAATTGTCTTTTTTTGTATGCTGTTTCTGAGATATGAGCCAACAAAGTTCGTAAAAATGTTGTATCAGGATAGGATTGACAAAGAAAAACTGTTTTTTTAGTATAAATAAGACAAAGTGATCTAGGAAATGTATTGATTGGAACTCATAAATATGTCTAGTTATAAACACATAATTTGTAGTAAATCAGGGTAAAACAATTAATTTTTTGGAAAAAAGACCATGCCTCCTATACCTACACCCTGATTCACTATAATTTATGTAATTATGACTACACATGAGTTCTGATCAATACATTTTCTAGCTTGTTTTGTCTTATTTATACTAAAGAAAAAGTTATTTTCTTTGTCAATCCTACCAGGATATGATGTTTTTATGATTTTTGTTGGCTTATATCTCAGAAACTAAACATACAAAACTTGTCAAAGTCACATATTTTTCTAATGAGCCATCCCACAACAACATAATAATTTCAGCCAATTGGACCAAGAGCAAATTTCCCATGTTTTCATGGATTTAGTAATGATCTTTGATCAATTAGAATTGCAAATAATGTCACAATCATTGATAGGACTCCTTGGAATGATGATTATTATCAAAAATACAAGATTCAAAAACTTCCACAAATTTTGTAGAAATTACAGAAATGATAAATAAATCAAACTGAAAATACTAAAACAAAACCAAGAGAGTTCATCAAGGTGCTTGAAATATTTGTGCATATTACATTTATTTCTTGATATGAAAGAATATCATCATTAAATCATCAAAATACACTGATCAAATCTTACCATGAATGGCCTTGTGAACAAACACCTGTTGAGCCTGAGCTAGCATCAACTGTGACAATGCTCCCAGAGTATCAGGATTCAAGTCTGGAGTGGGATCTTGTTGTATGGCAAGCATAACTGTATTTTTCAGATGATAAAAAATTCCTGAAGCTAGCTGAAAACAAGGACAACATAGAAAAATAAATATTAGTGTGATGCTCCCAGTAATAAGTTTTGTATCATAGCTTATTTTATGGTTCTATTGACCTCACCTGTAAAAGTTTGGCTGCCAATTTCAACCCTTCATCATTTTCCACACTTTGTGTTGCAGCTACACCACTTTGTAAGGCAGCAACATTGAAAAGAACACATACTTTCTCATACGCAAGTGATGGAACAGCTAAAATACAAATCAATATTCACATGAACCTTATTGACTTTGAACAAACATCAACATCTTATAGGTACTGTTAATGAGGTATTTAAATGATTAGTTTCAAAATGAATATACCTACAGTGACTTCACAAGAAAACATATTCAATGGAGCAATTCATTCAAGAATGTAGATTATAAATAAACAATGAGGTAGATCTAATGAGCTCATTGAATTTTATAAGCTATCTCACTCATAAATATATACATCTAAAACAGATAAAAAATTGTGTGCAAAGCTTATATCTGTAGTATAGATGAGCTCAAGAGTGAACTTATTTAAATGAATGAATTTCCAGGAGAAGCTGCAATAAGTTAGCAGCTACTAATAGTTTCAATGAACACACCAAGACAAAGGGAGCTGTTAGGACAAAGTGCTGCTACTGAAGTTATACTTTACATACTTAGACTCATTCTGGTTCCAAAAATATTTCCCTTGTCAAAAGCATCTTTCCATTTGAAAGGGACTTGCAATTCCTGTGCTGGTATTTTCGCCTCCAAGGCGACAATTTGATCATAGTACCTACAAAAGAATGTTCATGGATCACAAGATTGAATTAATAAAAGCATGAATCATACCCGTAAATAACATCCAGTGAACTTTCATACTTCTCAAAAGCCTTCCAGTTAGCGGTGGTTCGGAGCTTGGAAAATTCACTGATAGCCTCTGAACAGTCTTCGGGCTTGTCTGCTGTACTGTACCTCGACTGAATCAAATTTCTCAAGGGATTTACAACATCCACATCACTCGGTTTCTTCAGGGGGACCGATAATAGCTCGGCCATTTTTTACCTTATCAACTGGAGTACAGGAAAATATGCAAATGATTTCAGAGGAAATAGTTTCGAGTATGAAGTGAAAAATAGTTTATTCACAGATACAAAACTTGTCTTTACTTCTATAAACAAGTTACACTTGTAAAAGTTGTAATAAACTATTCTTTCTTTGCTTGTTGTAGTTTTAATTTTATTTTAACTGAAATGACATGAAACATTACAACTTTTAGAACGTCACTTCAATCTTCAATCTCTCATCTGCCATCTGTCAGTATTGTCAGCAATGTCATTTGTCAATAGCGCAGCACATCTCTAGTACCCTTAGATCATACATCCATCAACAACCTAAGCGAAGTTAGCTAGCAAAGTTAGCTCGCCCACATCGATCAGCGGCGTACGTAGGATGGCGTAAGTTTCTCACCTTTTCGACTAACGACAGTGGCGAAGCGAGAGGTCGGTGCAACGGTGCAACAAGGGTTGATGGGGTTCATTGAGAACATAAGAACATTCACCACCCTTATGTTTATCTACTCACTGCATCGAAAGTGTGCGTTTGCTCCCTCATTCAAAGACACAAACCTGTCAATAATTTACTCCAACGGAAGGAAAAAAATATTACCTCCCGTGGGAGGTAAAATAAATTGACTCCAGCTTACCTCATTGGTAGAGATATACGATATGTGCTACCCAAGTACCTAATCAGGTCTTCATCACTAAAATATAATAATAATCTAATAATAATAATTATTCTTTATTGCTCCTTAAGAAATTACATTCTTATAGCAAGAAGTCTAATCTAGCACAAACTAATCAAACTATACATAGTATAAAGAGCACCAACTAAAAATAAGGCGCTCATGACTCTTCAGAGAAAAATGTGGTACATACAAATACTTATAATGAAAACAGGTTAACATCAATCTTCAAATCATTCATTCATCACAAACGAACGCAGTTTAAAAAAGTTCAGGACGTATCCACACAATAATTTCGAATTCTTCACGTTGATATTGTCTAGCGCATTTATAAAATTTTCGACATTTTCGAGAATGATGACATTTTTTGGTTTGACTGCAGATAATATGGGGCATTCAAAAAATACATGCTCGAATGTTTGTGGCATATTTTGATTACATACATCACAAATTTGTTCGAACTCTATCTGGTGGACAATACCAGAATGCGAGATTCTTAGGTTGAATCTACCAGTGAGCCTAATTTGGGCAATTATTCTGATTATATAAATAGGAACATTCATGGTTAGATAAGTCTTGACAGCTTCGTTAATGGCGAAAAAATTATAGAACAGAGGAAATATTATTGAAACCTTGAGCGTTCCATGTTGGCGTACCGGGGAAACTTCTTCATCCCTATTGCGCTTCAGGTTTGCTACCTGAACTATCTTCGGTAGCCTATTGAAATACTTGATGGCAATGTCGGTTTCCCCTTCATTTCGACGTTTCCTCAGGTCCTCTTGAAGATTAGTGAGGTATTTTTGTTGTTTGGGTGTTAAATCAGGTTTTATGTAAATATTTGGAGTTTGATTTCTTGGTACTTTTTTCTATTTTTAATGATCTTCAGTGCAGTGTGAGGAGAATCTAAAGATAATTTGATTGGACGTGGCCCCTTTGAGGATTTTCCGAAGCGGAAGATATCATTCGTAGATATGTTGTCGATAATTTCAGGCGCAATTGTAGATATTATTTCTTTGACTTGTTTGAATTCATTTTGACCATCTTTGCTGTCTGGTACACCGAATATAATTATATTCCTATCTCTCCTCAATCGATCCGTATATTCGTTATGGAGGCTGCTTGCTGGGACAGTATTGTGATGTGTAGGTTGTCGATTTGTGCCTTGCTTTCAGATACCGCGTTTGGCAAAAATTGTGCCATAATGGCATCAAAATGTTTAATTGTTAGGGATGCGTTAGAGTTATCAGCAATTTGGGGTTCGGAAAGATGAGGGTTCGAAGCTTCCGGCCAGTTTTTGCAAATCCATATCTCGCCATTTCCATGAGTTTTCATGCGGCCACACGTACCATGGCCAGTTAGTTGACAAACTGAGCACTGCATGGAATCGATGGCTCGGTTCACACGATTATCACAAACAATACAGTTCCCTGGAGGGAGGGGCATTGCGACAGGTAAATAGGTATACTTAGTTCTACACTTCTAACAAATGTTTTTTCTCGTTGAGGTTAATTTCGAACTCACAAGTTTCAAATAACTAAATTATACGATAACTTTATTTGATTTGGTTTAATCACATTCAGGCACTAATAAATTAGATAGAATCACTCGCGTGAATTCTTATTCTTATTGATTTCAGCGCACTGTTTTAGCGGATCGACAATCGATAGATCGATGCTCACCCGACGACAACTCGGACTAGACTCCATCACTAAAATATGAAACAAATAACAATTTCATTGTTGAACTGCAATTATCTCATACGCACTTCCTCATATTCCAAACTTATCACTCAATCAGAACTTGATTAAGTAACACATTGATTTGGATCCAGACTCGAGGGATAGACAGCAAATCACAATTTTGGGAACGACACTCTCATCAAATATATGCGTTCGTGGATAGAATCATATACCTACATATCTTGGAACCAATAAAGGTTCATTTCTTCCCATGTGTGTTTAATGTATTTCGCTACGCGCCTTGGTCATCAAACTTCACACGTGGGAGAAAAAGGATCCCAGCAAACATTGAACTAGCGGGAGAAAGTCTGGCCTAGTACAGACTAGTCTGGGAAAGTGACGATGCCGGGGTATTGGTAATGGGCCGATATGATTTCCCTATGCCAAATAACCATCAGTTGAAAATACGATGATGGCCTTGTGATGGTAAGATGTCTGGAACTAATTGAATACCAACGAGATTTGGCCCTTTGCTGGTCAATTTCATGTTCGCTACTCGTCCCCCTGGTGGATGTTCTGGGAGTGGTGATCGCGTACTAGTTTGTTTTTGTTTATGTCGAATTAATGTGGTCCTCTCTTTCCCTGGTGTTTATTTATGATGGCAGGAGCAGTATTCTCGATAATAATATAGAAGACTGATTCTTCAATTATGATAATATTGAGTAAGTATCAATCTATACCTACAGAGGTGTTTCGAATATCATTATTGAATGCATATGTGTTTGGTATCAGACTATATTATCAAGTTATAAACTCATATGCAACTCATAGGCCACTTATATAAAACAAATGATGCATTTTATATTTCAGAAGTACCTCACAACGAAGAATCAACTTTGAAGGAATGCTACCCAATAAAATGTAGATACTATACATACCAACCAGTAAGCGCAGTCACTCCGAGAAGTTTCATCGTTGAAGAACAGAGAGGTTGAGAATATATATTTATAAATCAACACTTTCATACCCAAATCAAGGGGTTCAAACTTGAACGATGGAAACTTGTCATTTTCATAGACCTCTAATCACATGTGATCTGCAGATTCGTGATAGAGTCTCATTTCAGAATTTCTTTCCACGCCCTGTATGATGTATATCAATTTATCATACACCCAAAAATAAGAATATATCATATATATTGTGTCATTCATAAAATTTTTCTCTTGAAATCGGGTGTGTGTCTGATTTATGATGAGAGGGTTATATTGTGAAATAAAGAGGTACCAGAACTTTCAGATCCATTGGACCCTTGAAACCCCTACCCCTCCCCTACCTCGATAGTTTGTAACCAATGTCGTTAATTGGCCATTACACTCCCATCATTCATCATGTACATGCTCTGGGCTTGCTATGGGAAACTCAATGTGGGAGGCATTTTGCCGGGGAACTGAATATGATTGCTGGGTACCCAGCACTGGGACCAGCTGCCGGCCGCAGTGTATTGATATATAGTCCCGCATATGGGACCATTTACTGGGCCGCTGATGTCAAGTATAAGCATAATAAGCGTATTGGTATATCCGCCGCTGCACGGTAGTCAATTTCATCAAAGTTGGCTAAACCGTTTTTTTTTGCGGTTCTTCAGTTGAGGATAATCTTCCCTAGCCTTTTGACTCTAACACCCTGTATATGTACCTACTTACAAACTTTTCTTGCTATGTCAAATGGGTGCGTACACCACTGGAGACTCGGGAATGTCCGGAACTTTTAGTAGCCAGCTTTGGCAGCGAATTTCACTTTTACTTCATTTAGGTTTATGTTTAGAGTGGGAGAGATAAATTGGGTTATAAATCCGGTGGTGATAAGATAACCTTCCCAACAGTTCCAACACTGAAACGATCAGCTTTTCAATCAGAACTCAACAGAAAAAGTGCTTATCATTCACAAAGTTCAAGTACACGTTCCTCTCATATATCGATAATTTAACCTTCAGGTTTCGTCCCCGGAAAGTATATTCAAATAAATTTCAATGTCTGAACCTCAATCAAAGAAGAGCAGGATTGCCTCATCCGACAGTACCAATACCACAAAGATGAGCTCCTTGGAACAGCTTAAGGCCGTTACTACAGTTGTCGCAGACACCGGTGATTTTGAGGGTAGGTACTTTGGATATTATACTGAATACATTTCAATATTTTTAAAATATGGGGACATTGTATATGGATATATGGCCTTGGCCACTGAAGATAATGTATACTCTACATAATATCATACAAAGATTACCTAACCACTGGAAAATCATTTGGTATTCTTAGGCCTAGGCCTGTTCATTCCTATTGCTGAAATTGCTAAAGTTGATTTTTTTCAATACTGTCTGTAGGTTAATCAAGGAGGTGGTACATTCATTTTACTTGGTTCTTTGGGATTTTCTCTCCTCGTTTCTGTAAAATAAAAGTATTCCTATTATTTATTATTTATTTTGGGGCAAATCATCTGATTTGTCCCTCTACAAATATATTGAAATAATACGAATACCTTTATTTTATAGAAACAAGGAGAGAAAATCCCAAAGAACCAAGTAAAATGATTGATTTTTTTCCATAGTTGTGTCTCTTCATGGCATGATGTAAATAGAGAAAGTCATAAAAAAATCAAGTTCAGCAGGTAGAGCAAGCCCTAAGGAACAGGCCTTATAACACCAATACAATACCTGAATTTCCTATGCAACATTTTTATGGTTGAGTGGAAGAGCAATTTGGGATATAACAGTGAAATTGAACTCTGCCATTTGAGAAACATATATGTATAATAATACCAGGGTAAAACTGCATTTAGCATGCAATGTTTTTTTTTTTCGAAATTTTGACTCCTTTTCCCCCTTGTTTTGGATGCATTTACAGGTACTTGCTATTCTTATTTTGTCATTGGGCACTTTATATACTCATGATGTACTTTAATGACACATTTTTATACAGAAAATTCAACAGGAAATATGATTTTTATGGCCAGTTTTTCATATTTAGTGAACAAGCAATGACATCACACACGCCATTATTTTAAATGATATTCTTCCTTCTTTTCACTAAATGTAATAAATCACAAGTAAATCATATTTCTAGTTGACTCAATAATAGAAAAAAATGTGTCTCACATTGTGATATATATAAATTGTCCAATGATGAAAAAAGAAGGGTGAATATTGTTTTAAATGCAATCCAGAAGACAGGCGGAAAAGCTGGTGAAATTTGTAACTTTATAGTGAAATATCTTGATAAATAATGGTTTGTTCATATTTTCATTATTAAATTCATGTTTTCAGACAAAAATGCATAGGTACCAAAAAAAATTTTCAAAAAAAAAAACCATCACATGCTAAATGCAGTTTTACCAATACCTGTTGTACATTTATGCTGATTCAATAAAATCATTTATTATTATCATTATTTTCTGGGGGTGGATTATGCAAAAATTACTATTGACAAATTCCTTGGCTCAATTATTGTTAACATTAATTATGTAATTCAACTAGGAAGTGCACTACTGGAAACTGGAAAGTCATTTGGTACCCAAGGTTGCTAGAATAACTTATGATTGTTGGTAACACCACCTGATAGCATCTACCATCACCTGTTGCTTCTGATTGTTCACCAGATCATGCTACTGAGACATGAAATTTTGCATGACAATTCTTTGGGAAATGCTAATTTACTGACTGAATTTGCAATTTCAGTATTTCATACCCCTATTGGCCCTATTTCAAATTTCAGTATAGAAAATAGATAGAAACATATTCTCATGACAGTATCTTGGTACTAACACCTCAACTAACACCTAATTAGTAGAGACTACCATCATCCATATCCACTCACCCCCAGTGGATAGGGTAGTTTATTCTTGTAGGTTTCAAAAATAAAATAAACAGAAGATATACAGGGTGTTATTTAAGTACGTGGCCAAACTTGAAGGGGTGATTCTTTGAGTGATTCTAAGACGAAAAATTCATATAAACATAGGTCCGGTAATGCTTCGTTTTCAAGATACAGGGTGTCAAAATTTTTAAAAGAAATTGTTTTTTTCGAAAATAACTCAATAACCCTTCAACCGATTTTATTGAAATTTGGCAGTGTTATTCAAGGTCGTAAAGGGCTAATTTAACCCTAACTATATCAAAATTATCATGTCCAGTGGCGTCCCGGAAGGCACTGTAACCAATATTTTTGACAGAAAAAATGTGCGCCACTGATTTTTTTGCAATTTTTGTATTTGTTTCACATTGAGCAACTAAAATTACATCTTTTTTATATCTAGAATTTTTTTCGTATCTTGCTTTGTTTTTAAGAAAAAACATAAAAATCACTTCATTGCACATCCCTGTGACAACACAATAAAACATTTCAACTACTAAACCATCAAAAACTGGGGTCTTACTAATATTTTTTCATATTAATACTCATTTCTAGTCTTGAAATTTTCTATCAAAATTAATGCAATGAAAAAACAAAAAATATGTATGTATGAATTGCAGCACTTGCCTTCGGCTCGTCACAGGGATGTGCAATGAAGTGATTCTTATGTTTTTTTTCAAAAACAAAGCAAGATACGAAAAAAATTCTAGATATAAAAAAGTTGTAATTTTAGTTTCTCAATGTGAAACAAATACAAAAATGGCAAAAAAATCAGTGGCGCACATTTTTTCTGTCAAAAATATTGGTTACAGTGCCTTCCAGGACGCCACTGGACATGATAATTTTGATATAGTTAGGGTTAAATTAGCCCTTTACGACCTTGAATAATACTGCCAAATTTCAATGAAATCGGTTGAAGGGTTATTTAGATATTTACGAAAAAAACGATTTCTTTTAAAAATTTTGACACCCTGTATCTTGAAAACGAAGCATTACCGGACCTATGTTTATATGAACTTTTCGTCTTAGAATCACTCAAAGAATCACCCCTTCAAGTTTGGCCACGTACTTAAATAACACCCTGTATAGAAACACATAACTTACTCATGACAGTATCTTAGTACCAAACATCTGAGTAGTAGCTACTATTACCATCCATACCCCCCTTAAAGGTTATTTTATTCTTGTGAATTTGGTACATGGTCTGATAATGAATTATTGCCATTCAATTACTCCACTGTGTTGTTAGGGACCTATATTGGTTTTTGCAACATTTGTCATGCTTTTTTTATATGTGTATTTAAGGTGTAATCATATGCTCAACAAAAATTCGAGATATCTTTTATACAATAGCTTTATTGAACCTCATTTGAGATATTTGGTCTCATGTTATGGAAATGCCAGTGTGGATATAATGAATAAACTACAAAGACTGCAAAACAAATCGATAAAGACTATATTCTCTAGAAACTATCTTACACCAAGTGACATATTGTATAAAGACTATCCATTCCTGAAAGTTGAACAGGCTAAACTTATACAGGGTGATTCAAAAGTAAGCGGCATCCTTTCAGAGGCGTATTCCTTGCATGAAAATAAGGCAAAAAGTTCCTATTGATAAGGATCCGAAAATGCTTCCTAAGGGAGCTACGGCCCTTTGAATAGGACACCTCAAAGACGGTTTTTTCTCTATAACTTTAAAATCCTTCACAACAAATTTTTAAAAATTGGTGTACGGCATAAACATTCGATGGTAAATAGGACTCCGTATTCGAAATAATTTCCAAACGAAATCACAGTAACCTGAATATCCGGAGAAGAAGGGATATTTTTACACTTACCCTCTCCCGCATGTGACGCCCCTGAATGAAATTCTGAAATTTCGAATACGGAGTCCTATTTACCATCGAATGTTTATGCCGTACACCAATTTTTAAAAATTTGTTGTGAAGGATTTTAAAGTTATAGAGAAAAAACCGTCTTTGAGGTGTCCTATTCAAAGGGCCGTAGCTCCCTTAGGAAGCATTTTCGGATCCTTATCAATAGGAACTTTTTGCCTTATTTTCAAGCAAGGAATACGCCTCTGAAAGGATGCCGCTTACTTTTGAATCACCCTGTATATAAAATCAAGAATAAACTTATGAAAACAAGTGTAGAACTGAAGCAAACTAAAGACTATCACAGCTATAACTTGGGATCAACTGATGTGTACAGAAACAAACTATTACGAACAAAAAAAGGTCAAAATTCTCCTATTTATCAAAGCATAAAAATGTATAATCTTATTCCAAAAACTGTATTTGAAGGAAGTGAGAAGTATTATAGAAGTAGAAACAGTGTAGATGAGTAGGCACATATTGAATTTGAAGTGTTAAGGATTTTAGTTTTAGTAACATTGTTATCTATTATTCTGTTGTATTTTGGCCTTGTTGCCAGATCTTTGTTATCTGATTTGAGGTCAGAAATAAATTCTTTGAAAAAAAAAATATATACAAATAATGAGTCTATGCATTGTTCAAAATTGTTGAATTTCAAGATGTCGGTTTTTATGCTGTTTCATTATTGGTCAGATAATCTCCATCCCCAGTCATGAAGCAAGGTTGTCGAGGCACCAATTATTATCAAGTAATCAAAAGTATGTTAGAGTCCTGTCATTGAATTGAACACAAGATAATAGTTATTTATGCAACCAGTGCAAAAAGTGAGTGTTAGGCCTAGTTTGACAACAGGTCAAGTGCAATCAATACTTATTTGCAGGAGTAGCAGACAATATTTTTTCTACATTCATGCAAAAACCAATACATATTTCAGAAACAAGGCACACTCTAAGTCATCTCCTCAAATTTATTAGTACTATCAATAGTCTATCATCAGCAGATTTATTAAGGGAATTTGTGGAAGTGAAAAAAGGCAACAGCAATATTACAGTTTGTTAGTTATGGAAATCAAAATAATTTTTTTTGTAAAAATGAAAAGGCATGGTCATCCAGGAAAATGTCAAAAAAAAACATATTTCATTAAAGAGACTGGGTGTGGAAAAATAAAAAGAGTAATTAAATAGCAAAATATTCAATAATTAATTAGCACTATCAATTTGCATTGGGGAAGTTCAGAACTAATATATTAAAAACCATTCAACTCAAACATACATACAAACAATATTTAGATATCTTAATGAATTATTTTTCATTTCTACCTCAGCGAGTACCTCAGGGTTGGTAGAATTGATGATTATTTGTAAAGGAAGGTTG